AGCTGGCAGTGGTGTATTTTCAGCTTGCTCTCTTCAGATATGGAAAGCACCCTGAAGCCCATCTTCACTCTTGTAATGACTGCAGAGTTCATACTTGGGAATCTGAGCAATGGATTCATAGTGCTGATAAACTGCATTGACTGGGTCAACAAAAGAAAGTTGTTCTTGGTTGATCAAATTCTTGTTATCTTGGCATTCTCCAGAATTGGTATGATCTGGGAAATATTAGTAATTTGGTTGGTAGTTCTGTATTTTCCAGGCTTTGTTGTGGATGAAAAACAATTGAGACTTGTTTCTTTTACCTGGACAGTTGCCAATCACTTCAGTCTCTGGCTTGCTACAATTCTCAGCATCTTTTATTTGCTCAAAATAGCCACTTTCTCCAGCCCTACTTTTCTCTATCTTCAGTGGAGAGTGAAAAAAGTGATTCTGATGATACTGCTTGGGAGCTTCATTTTCTTGTGCTTAAATCTGATAGTAATAAACATACATATTAAAGACTGGATGGATGAAATTGTGCATCAAAGTAATACAACTTGGAATTTCAAAATGAATGCCTCTTCGTTTTCAGGGCTGATCGTCTTCACTATGGCTATATTTGCCTTAATACCATTTACAATGGCCTTGTTCTCTTTTCTCCTCTTAATTTTCTCCCTGTGGAAACATCTCCAGAAGATGCAGCTCTCTTCCAAAGGATGTGGAGACCCCAAGACCCGGGCCCACAGAAATGCCTTGAAAACTGTGATCTTGTTCCTCCTACTCTATGCTACTTTCTTTCTGTCCATTATCTTATCATGGGTTTCTGAGATAAAGCAGGTCAAAGCGGTCCAAATGCTTTGTCAGCTTATTGGATCCCTCTATCCTTCAATCCACTCCTTTTTCCTAATTCAGGGAAACTCTAAGTTACGGCAGGCCTATCTTAGTTGGCAGCTAAGGTGTGGATTAAAAGATGAAACACTCACAATTCCAGATAAAAATAGGAGTCTATGAAGAGTTCAGAGACATTTTATACTTCCCCCAGTTTCCTCCATTGTGAAGGTCATTGTAAAGTTTTCAAGTGAATATCTATGATAACATCTTACCTATGAATATTGCATATTTATGATGTGTGTTTATATCATCAAGTGTTCAATACTTATTTGAGGAAATCATTGGTCAATTCCATTTTAATTTAAAAATGTGTACCATGATATACTCAGATATTGATTATGAAATCTCCAATCTTTTGGCAGGCAGTGGGCCTTTAATTTTAAGTCACTCATTGAGTATGAGTGAATTGAGGACAAGTAGTTATTTGGAACAAAAGTACTGAAAGTTGGCATTGTGACCTTTGCTCGTACTTTTGGGATGAGAGCATTGAGAGGATTCCTAAGCTTAGTATGAATAACTGCCACATAAAACAATGACCTGTGGTTTTTAGTAGTTGTGCATATACATAAATACATATTTTATAAGCATTATTGAAGTATAATTTATATATAATAAGACCAAACAATGCACAATTCAGTTAGAATTTAGACATTGTATATTCCTGTGTGATTACAATTATCAGAGTCCTTTGCAGTCCAACTTCTCCCTCACTCTTCCTTCTGCCAAGGCAGCTACTAAGTTTGCTTTTGGTAACTATAAGATAGTTTTTTGATTTCTAGAATATTTAAAATATGTGGTCATAGAGTTTGACTGCTATAGCTAAGGTTTCTACAACTCAGCATAATGCTTTTGAGGTTCACATATTTTGTTGTATATAGATCAATAATTTGTTCTGAGTAGTATCCTTGAATAGTATTTCTGAATAGAACTGCATATATTTTTTTATAAAGTTCTCTTACCTATTGATGAACGTTGGAATGTTTCTCACTTGTTGGTCATTATAAATAAAACTGGTACCAACGTTGATATCTGTGTCTTTTTCTGGATATACAATTCCATTACTCTTGGGCAAATGCCTAGGAGTACGTCCCATCATCTAGTATGTGTACATTTAACTGTTTAAAAACTACCAAAGTGTTCTCCAAGGTGGTGTATCACATTATACTTCAGGCAGCAATGTGTGAGAGTTTTGGTTTCTCCACATCCTGGCCCATAGTTGGTACTCTGTTCTGTTCTTTTTAGCCATTCTAGTCTTGTTTAATGGCTTCTGACTGTGGTTTTAATTCATATCATCCTGATGACTAGTGATATTAAGCATTTTTATTGTCATTTGGTCATTCATAGAAATTACTTTGTGAAATGTGTTTTTAAACCTTTTGTCTCTTATTTAATTTGGTTCTTTTTTTTTTTTGGAGACAGAGTCTCACTTTGTCTCCCTCTATAGGGTGCTGGGGCATTATAGCTCACAGCATGGTTTGTCTTTTTATCATTGAGTTGTAAAAATTCTTATGTAGACTAGATATATGGGAGAAGGGAGAGTACTTAGGGGGACCTCATCTAACGTGTATGATGTAAGGTACATTTCAAAACTATTAAGAAATGAATATAATTGTGATGGATGTGTTACTTGGTTCAATGTAAACATTTCACATTGTATATTGAAGCAGTACCGTGAACCCCATAAATGCATCAATGTACAAAGTTATGATTTAATAAAAAATAATTAATTATAAAAAGGAAAAATAGATATAGTGGTTCTTTTTTAATCAGACATGTTTTATAAATATTTTCTCCCATCTGGTGACTTGTCATTTCTTTTTTTCTATTCTTTTCTTTTGTTTTGAGACAGAGTCTCACTTTATTGCCCTCAGTAGAATGCTGTGACATCACAGCTCATAGCAACATCCAGCTCTTGGGCTTAGGCGATTCTCTTGCCTCAGCCTCCCAAGTAGCTGGGACTACAGGTGCCCGCCACAACGCCTAGCTATTTTTTTGTTACGGGTTGGCTGGGGTCTGGGTTTGAACCCACCATGCTTGGTATATGTGGCTGGTGCCCTACCCACTTGATTTTTTTCTTTGTTACTTACAAATCAAAGTGCTTGCCATTCTTTTTGATGCCAAACAGTATACCTTAGAACACTGAAAAAATATTCCTAAGCTGATGCTTGCTAAACAATTGGGTTGTTTGAGACTATTTTTGAGTTTTATTTGGAAGAACTAACTTCAAAATGGTGTTCAAGAGGTTGCCATTAGCTTTATCATGCTCTTCCTAGCTTTTAATTGTAATCATGATTTGTAAAAGACTCCAACATTATTTATTATTATTAAATAAATATAATGCTTGGTTATATTGCAGAATGATGAGAACTGAATTTTTAAGTTCTATAAAACAGCCAGGATTGAAGTATTATTATCTCTCTTGTAATTCTGCTCCATTAAGTAAAAGGACATTTCCCTTTATTTTTCAAAATAGAATTAATGTTGTTAATGTTGGTAAAAATTAACCATGGAGAGACTCAAAAAACGAAGAGAGGCTTGATGTGATGGCACGTGGCTGTGGTCCCAGCTACCCAGGAGGCTGAGGCAGGAGGAACTCTTGAGCCCAGGATTTTGAGGCCAGCCTGGGCAACATAGTGAGACTTCCTCTCTAAAATCAATGAAGGAAAGGTGGAAGGATGGATCAAACTTTGCTCAAATGTTATCATCAGGTACTATTTGTGATTTCCAAGTGTTTTTAGAAGGCCATGTATTTTCCAAAGGCAGTAATAATAAATAGCAAATATCTTTGCTCTTAAAAACAAAGTAGCAGCCTTTTAAAGAATGACCTTTTCCTGTCGCAAAGGTCCTGTGTGGAGTCCGCTGGTGGATCTGTGAGACCCGAAGATTGACAGCGTCTTTGTACCCCAGAGGCTGCGCTGGGCGACTCTGCGACCATCATCATGCCACAAAATGAATATATTGAATTACACCGTAAACACTATGGATATCACTTGGATTACCATGAGAAAAAGAGAAAAAAAGAAAATGGAGAGGCTCATGAACGGTCAAAGAAGGCAAAGATGATTGGTCTGAAGGCTAAGCTCTACCACAAACAGCGCCATGCTGAGAAAATATAAATGAAAAAGACTATCAAGATGCATGAAAAGAGAAACACCAAACAAAAGGATGATGAAAAGACTCCAGTGGAAGCAGTACCTGCCTATCTGTTGAACAGAGAGGGACAGTCCCCAGCCAAAGTACTCGCCAATATGATTAAACAAAAACGGAAAAGAAAGCCGGAAAACGGGTAGTCCCTCTGCCCAAAGTTCGTGCTCAGGGAGAAACAGAAGTATTAAAAGTTATTCCAACAGGAAAGAGAAAAAAGGCATGGAAGAGGATGGTCACTAATGTCTGCTTTGTTGGAGATGGCTTTATGAGAAAACCACCTAAATATGAATGATCCATCAGGCCAATGAGCTTGCGTTTCAAGAAGGCCCATGTAACAGATCCTGAACTGAAAGCCACCTTTTGCCTGCCAATACTTGGTGTAAAGAAGAATCCCTCACCCCCATTATATACAACTTTGGGTGTTATTACCAAAGGGACTGTCATTGAGGTCAACATGAGTGAGCTGGGCCTTGTGACACAAGGGGGCAAGGTTATTTGGGGGAAATATGCCCAGATTACCAACAATCCTGAAAATGATGGATGCATAAATGCAGTCTTACTGGTTTGATAACCATTTCACACAAGTAACTTACACAACAATTGAGAAAACCAGCATTACTGTGATGTTTTGGAATGCTACCAAACAGCCTTACATGTCTGCATTCATTAAGAGAACTATTTATTAAATTGTACAAAATATTAAACAAACAAACAAATAAAAACAAAGTAGCACTCGGGTGGTGCCTGTGGCTTAGTGGGTAGGGCCAAGAAAACTTTTGAAAATGAAAATAAGGATGGGATATCCTAGCTAATATCAAGATCTATTAAAATTATTTATTTAAACAACTAAATGAGTGAATTCTTTAGCACACAAATAGAAAGTATATGCTATAATAAATAATAGGTCAGTGGATCAAAATACAGGGACTGGACCAGGCCCTTTATATTTCTTTTTTTAATTAAAAAAATTTTTTTTTATTAAATCATAGCTGTGTACATTAATGCAGTCATGGGGTACAGTGTGCTGGTTTTATATACAATTTGAAATATTTTCATCAAACTGGTTAACATAGCCTTCATGGCATTTTCTTAGTTATTGTGTTAAGACATTTATATTCTACATTTAGAAAGATTCACATGTACCCTTTTAAGATGGACCATAGGTGTGGTTCCACCAATCACCCTCCCTTCACCCATCCTCCCCCTCCTCTCCCCACCCTCTCCCCCATCCCCATATTCTTGGGCTATAATTGGACTATAGTTTTCGTATGAAAGCTATAAATTAGTTTCATAGTAGGGCTGAGTACATTGGATACTTTTTCTTCCATTCTTGAAATACTTTGCTAAGAAGAATATTTTCTAGCTCCATCCATGTAAACATGAAGGAGGTAAAGTTTCCATCTTTCTTTAAGGCTGCATAATATTCCATGGTATACATATATCGCAATTTATAAATCCATTCGTGGGTTGATGGGCACTTGGGCTTCTTCCATGATTTAGCAATTATGAATTGGGCTGCAATAAATATTCTGGTACAAATATCTTTGTTGTAAATATGATTTTTGGTCTTCTGGATATATATCTAGTAGAGGAATTGCAGGATCAAATGGCAGGTCTATTTTTAGTTCCCTAAGTGTTGTCCAAATATCTTCCAAAAGGAATGTATTACTTTGCATTCCCACCAGCAGTGTAGAAGTGTCCCCCTTTCTCCACATCCACACCAGCATCTCTGGTTTTGGGATTTTGTGATATGGGCTAATCTTACTGGAGTTAGATGATATCTCAAAGTAGTTATGATTTGCATTTCTCTGATGATTAAGGATAATGAGCATTTTTTCATATGTCTGTAGGCCATGTGCCTGTCTTCTTCAGAGAAGTTTCTCTTCAAGTCCCTTGCCCACTCTGAGATGGGATCACTTGTTCTTTTCTTGCTAAT